CTCTGCCTCAAGTCTTTTTCCCCTTTTAATTTACAACCTAAATGACTGCCAGAATGGCCTTTTTTTTTTTTTTTTTTTTTTTTAAAGCAAGCTTTACACCCAACATGGGGCTTGAACTCACGACTCTGAGATCAAGAGTTGCATCCTCTACTGACTGAGTCAGCCAGGTGCTCAAGAGAGAATGGTCTTTCTAAAGCACGTACTTGATCATGTTACTAAGTATGGCCTTTAAGGCCCTTCATGATCTAGCCCCTTCTTATCTCTCCAGTGTCGTCACTTCCTTTTACTCACCATGCGGCATCCAAATAAACTGACTCCCAACTGCGTCTGGCTTTGGCTAGTAAAAAATGCTGTCTCTAATTCAGGTCTTTATGCCTTTGACACATGTTCCCTCTCCCCCACTCCCTCTTCTTTATTGTTTGATTACTTCCTATTCTGTCGGAGTCAGCTTGTGGTGGGGGGGGGGGCGCTGACTTGAGAATCATGTCTGGGAATTGCCCTTTACTCCTTAGTCTTGGTTAACTGTTCCAGCTTGCTGTCCCCATAATACTATGTGCTTGTTCCACTCTTACTTTCGTGCTGTTTTGTAATTCTCTGTTTGCTTGTCTTTCTCTCCCACTGACTGAGTTTCATGAAGGCAGAAGTTGTCTTCCTCTGTGTATCCCTAGTTCCATATACCCAATAAGTGCTTAGTGAATGGATGGAAGCTGACATCAGAAGCTATTTCTTGGCTTTGGGAAATCTCTGAGTCCAGTAGAAGTCATTGAGATATTAATCTAGGAGTTCTTGTGTGCTTGTGATTACAGTGCTCTTGAGACAAAAACTTGGAAAGTTTATAGAGGTCACAAGCCAGCTGTGCTAAGGAAACCAAGTACAGGGAGACCCTGCTTTTGTTTCCTTACATTTTATCGGTCTGCTCCATTGGCTGTACTAAAAATAGCATATCTATTAGTGATATCTCAATGTGAAAATTGTCTGGGAACAAAGCTGCTTTTAGTGCACCTACCTGGCAGCAGAGGGTTTGGGAGACCTTGGTCTTCCTTTCCCTGGACCCATGCAGCCTGAAGAGGAGGAGGTGGTATCAGATCAGAAGTCCCCTCAGAGGTAGGTGTCGTAGGACGCAAGCCTGAGTCAGCCACCAGAGTCATGTGGGGGGAGTTGTGTGTGGTAGACTGAGTGTGACTCTCAGAATCACTTGGAGAATGAGGCAGGCATGTTCCTGCAACACACACAAGCCAGGATGGCTGAGCAGTCATGGCAACAGCCTGCCTCTCCTGGTGGGGGCGGGGGGTGAGGATGGACTTGGGGGCAGTAAGTAGTTGTCAGTGAGGACATCCTCAGATGAAGCTTAAATCAGGCAATGTGTTTGATTGAACTCCTGCAGTGGTCCACACGGATTGTACTGGAACACACCTTAAGAGCTCTTGTTATTTGTACCACTGATAACAAAGCTTGTGGCTGTAAAATAGAATGTTGAGATATACTTTTTTAATAATAGGGATATTGCTGTAGTCCATTTTGCATCCTAAGCCACTCATCTTCAGTTTTAACTGCTGATTCCTGGTTTCTCACAGCCTGTGGAACCCTGGCATTTTGCCCTTTCAACACAGGAGTGCCATCTGTGGTAAAAGAGAGTAACTATAGGCTGTACAGTACGTAGGGAAGCAATCCAGGGTTTATGTTTTTTTTTTCATTCTGCTTCCCAGAGCTTTTTTTAGGACTGCATTATGGGTGAAAGTAAAAATCGGCTATATAACCCAGGATTTGTGTTCATGACACAAAGCTGAAAGTTGCCACCATCCTCGTGGTAGCGGCAGCGTGCTATTTGGTGATAGGGACAGAGAAAGCCAGGACAGGAAAACCAACACCCGCTTTGGAATGCTCATCTGAGTCCGGCTCCTGATTGTATTAAAGAGGAGTCATAATGTCCACTAATTTCAAGGTGTGGCGCTGCCCCCAGAGGACACACAGTGACTACGTGGACATTTCATCAGTTATCCATCAGGCCCATTGTGTATTAAATGGCAAGAGAAAATTCCATCGATTTTAGTCTTCTAGTCCTTTTGTGGTGTTTCCAAACCAGTCTTGGGGTCAAATATGGTGTGGAAAATGGCCAAGAATTGACAGGGTATCTAAGAAACCATCTGTGCTTCACACAGAGATACCAAGTACTGCTAGGGCAGAAGAAATGATATAAGGACATCCTCAGAGGAGGCTTAAATCAGCCCCTGTGCTTGGTTGAACTCCTATAGTGGGCTTGGCACTGGGAGTGGGGACAGATCCAAAATAAATAAAAGGCATAGTCCTTGCCCATGGAGAATACAGTTAAACTATAGAGACGGTAAATGTACAGACTTCTAAGAGAGAAAAAGCTCCATGAGGTAGTAAGTGCCACGTGAGTGGCTCAGATAATTCAGGGACATGCCAGGAAAGAGAAATAAGTGTAACACTGGGATCAGCTTTTGAACCAAGACGTTAACATGCTAGCTTAGCAAAGAAGCAAACCAAAGGCCAGTGTGTGCATGTTTTGGGGCCAGGGGTATTTTTCAGCCACTCACGGTTGGTAATCCTTTAATCAGCAATCGCTTCATTCATGAAGGACAGCAAGATAAATGCCTGGTATAAATTCCAATTCAGAACCTGGGCCAGAGCCTACTACCAAAGCTTAAAGCAAAGTATCGTCTGGAACTGGAGAAGAGGAGGCCGAGTAGGAAATATGATCAAGACTAGGGAGACTTGGGGACGTTTTAATTTCCGGAGATGAGGGTGGCAGAACCAGAAGTCTGACTACTACAGATTGCCAGGGTTGATGGAATCTGATCTTATTGGCTGGGCAGATGTCCCTTCCTGCCTACAGATCCTCTAGGATCTGTCTGCCTGGGTGGGTTTAGGCAGGATGGGCAGGGAGGATGGCTAGTGGGCGACTTGGCTGAAGTTGAGCCCTAAGGTTGAGCCAGGTCCTCTCCCTGGGGTGTGAGCCCTCTGGGTCAGGGGCAGGGCTCATCTGAGGAACCTACCAGGAGCACCACGCCTGGCTCATTAGTGGATGTCTGGGAAGGCCTTTGAAGATGAAACACTCCATAAGCACTCATTGTTTCTGTTTTTTGGACAAACTAGTACTTTGGTCTCCAGGGGCTGTCGATCTGGCTCCTTTGTACTAGTCTGGAATTTGCTGCAAACTGAGGAGAGTAGGAAACAAACAAAACTGAAATAGTTTTTGAGAAAACAGCTCAACTCCCACTAAACCCCCATGCTTTAGCTTATAAATCAGATTCCTCCCCATCCACCTTTCACATTCTTGGGTTTGGGTGCACTCTGTCTTGACCTGTTCCTTCGCCTGCTGGGTTTGGGGTGTGTGTGCCTCTGGTTCCCAGACTCTATAGAGAATGCCAGCAGCTGGCATATGGTGATTGCTGAATAAGCTGCCCGCTGACGCCTGTCTCCTGCAGGCACAGAGAACTGGCTGCCATGGGCGATCCTGAACCCTGTTTCATTGGCTCAGAGATGCAGTTCTGTGGCCATCCTGTGACATAGAGAAGGGAGGGAAGAGGAGAGGGAATGAGTGACTCTAGGATTCTGTCTTTTGGGGGCAATGGGTGGGGTGGGAAGATAGGCAATTTGTGCCTTCATAGTCCTTCTTACTGCCATCTTCATTTTTTCAGCAGATAATTTGTTAAGATCCTAGTATGCACCAGGCATAAGCTTCCAGTCAGTCTTAGTGAGCTGCTTAGTAAGGTCAGTATTAGACCCTGGGAGTTCTAGTTCATTGTTCAGCGGCTATGTCAAGGTACCAGGAACACAGCAGTGAACAAAAACAGATAAGGAGCTGACATCGTAGTAGGGGAAAAACAGTACAGCAAGAAACAAATGTGTGATGTGTCTGATGGTGATAAATGCTACGAAGAAAAATGAAGTGGGATAAATGGGGTAGAGAGTGATGTGCGTGTTTTAGAGGTGGTTGTGGAAGGCCTCTTTGATAAGGTGATATTCAAATGGATACCTGAAGGAAGTGAGGGGATGCTCCATGAAGGTTATCTGGGAGAGGAGCGTTCAGGGCAGAGCGAATAGCAAGTACAAAAGCTTTAAGGCAGGAGAGTGTCGGGGAATTGAAGTGGAGTAAGCCAAGAGAAGAGTAGTAGGAGATCTAACGAGAAGCAGGGGAATGCAGATCGTGCAGGACCTTGCTAGCCACGGTATGGTTTTGGATTTTACTGAAAGGGAGACAGGAAACCAAGAGAGGGTTTTGAACAGAGAAGCAGCATGACCTGATTTTGGTTTTAAAAGTAGTCTGACTGCTATGTGGAGAACAGACTGAAGGGGGTTAGGGAGGAGGCAGGGAATGAGGTGACTGCCTCATTGCAGGTGAGAAAGTGGAGAAGCTGTCCTTGGATGGGCCACGATGAGCCTAGGAATGAGGGGTAGCCTAGGCACACCGTTGTATGAACAGGGCACAACTTCCACCTTATTTCTTCCTGATTAATTTTGGTGTGTGGAAGGAAGGTGGAATCGCAGACATACGGAAAGGGAAGAAGTGAAGTCTCTTGATTTGAGTATGGACCTTGGGAACCTGGCAAGCCCGAACCTTGTCAGGAGTCACAAAGAGCCACTCCTCATTCCGCTCCCTCCTCTCCCAGCCTTTCCAGGAGTCTCAGGGGAAGGTTGCGGGAGGGAGGGGCATTCATGGTCTTGCAAGGCCTTGTATGGTATAGAGTGTCAGAACTGAAGGGACTTCAGAAGTCATCTAGTTCAGTCCCCTCCATTTATAGGGTCAGATATGGATGGGGGGAATAACTCATCCAAAGTCACACCAGTACATTATGGCAGAGCAGAGGTCCTGAGTGTTCACGGCTTTGTCTCCGCTCCCAAAGACTCAGGATGTGTCTGAATGGGACTTGATCTTCATAGCTTGTTATAAATTCCAGCCATGGCTTTGGCAAATCCCATTTACATGGAATCCTGACTAGCAGATGTGGTAATGAGTTTATGTTTCTTTGCCTTAGGATCGAGTTCTCCATACCAGGGCCCAGGCCAAAACCAGACTGCCACTGCCCCCACTTGAGCCCTCCTGTCCTCAGAAAGTGGTTGCTGTGATCATGGGTAATATCTTTGGAAACCTTCTGAAGAGCCTGATTGGGAAGAAGGAGATGCGCATCCTGATGGTGGGCCTGGATGCTGCAGGAAAGACCACCATCCTGTATAAGCTGAAACTGGGGGAGATCGTCACCACCATCCCCACCATTGGTAAGGGCACAGCTTAGATGTAAGTTTTCATGCCAACAGCCGGACCAGGCAAGGGGCCTATTCCTAGATCCCCCACCTGGCCACCAGGCAAGTCTATGCAACTTGGGGGGATTCAGGGAAGGATGGTTATTTAGCTTACTAGCAGGTGCTGGGGCTGCCGTTTGCCCACCTACCCGGGCCCTCTCTGATGCGGGAACTTCCGCAGCCTGGCACTGAACAGTTGCCCTCAGGCACTGAGCTGGTTTGTTCTCTGTGTTGTTTGGAAAGCGGGTGAAAGGCTTTGATGTTCCTGCCAGAGGCCAGGAGTTGTTTCAGTTTAGATCCTCAGTGGACCTGATCCTGGTGAAGACCTGCCTGTGGGAGGGAGAACGTTTGCCTTATAGATGGGGCTCCAGATCATCATTGTCCACTGGTTCTGCATTTGCCTTATAGATGGGGCTCCAGATCATCATTGTCCACTGGTTCTGCATTTGGGCCTCCAGGACTAGAGCTCACTTTTTCTTCACTGTGTTTCCCAGGCCCTACATTTTAGCTGTGGCAGACTCGTGATGGCTGAGGTACAGGAGTGGGGCTGAGTCATTTCTTTGCTGGAGGGAGAGGCGAAGACAGAGAATGAGCAGAGAAGGGTAGCTCATGTGACCAAGGGGATTGTGAACCTCCTGACTGGCCCTCCTCATCCTCTTCTACCTTTTCTCTAAGGGTTGTTGTTTTTTTTTGGCCTTTCGGCTACTAGGTCAGGGAATACTAGGCCTGAGGAAGCCTCAGTTTTCTTTCCTTTGCGAGGATCAGAGCCAGGCTGGGGGAAGCAGAAACAAACCACCGGGGTATTATTTGCAGGCCTGGTGTTGGAGGCCGAGTGGCCATTGTCTGTTTTTTCCAAAGGGTTCAACGTGGAGACAGTGGAGTACAAGAATATCAGCTTCACAGTCTGGGACGTGGGTGGCCAGGACAAGATTCGACCTCTCTGGAGACACTACTTCCAAAACACCCAGGGTATGGCATATGAGTCGCCCAGCTTGGCACGGGTTGGTTGGGTGTGAGCAGAAGGTGTGGCTGTCATTCTTGGTTATGGGCAGCCAATCCTTGCGCTGCCGCAGCTCCTTAGGGGTGGGAGAACAGGAGGAAAGGGGGCAAATATTTGGAGGGTGTATGGAAGGAGTTGTCTTTTGGTGGTAGGGATGAGGGGAGTTCATCTGCTATCTTACGCAGCACATGCTCTGCCTCCCTAGGGTTGATATTTGTGGTTGACAGCAATGATCGGGAGCGAGTAAATGAGGCCCGAGAGGAGCTGATGAGGATGCTGGCAGAGGATGAGCTCCGGGATGCAGTGCTCCTTGTCTTTGCAAACAAACAGGTGAGACTTCTCCCCACCCTGGATTTGAAAGAGGTCAACCTGGCTGTGGAAATCCTGGGCGTTGGGGCTCATTGTAGAGGAAGCCCTGTGACTGTGTTCTCAATTTTGGAAGTGTGGGGAATATGATTAGCTGGCTTCTTTATGTTCCTCTTCTTGTCCCCTACCCAGCTTTAATTAGCAACACTTCTGTCCTCAGGGATTGTTGTGGTAGCTACCTCAGATCCCTCCTTCATCTTCCCTGTTGTCTACTTCAGTGGAACTGCCCTCACTTCTATAGTCAGACAGACCTGAATCACCTCTTCACTTCCCTACAGCCCCATATTTGGTTTGCAGCTCCCCAATGGAATGACCTTTAGCGCCTTGGATCTATGGTTCTGGGATGAATAAATCCAAAGCAGCTCTTTAGGACCTTGTTCTGGTTCCTACAGTGGAGGAGGAGAGGGTGCTGGTACACATCTCTTTGGTAGATGGGTGTTCTAGAAGCCTTTGAAAGATCCTGAGCCTCCTTTTTGTGTGTCTCCCTCGTGCTCCAGGATTTGCCTAATGCTATGAACGCTGCTGAGATCACAGACAAGTTGGGCCTGCATTCTCTGCGTCACCGCAACTGGTACATTCAGGCCACCTGTGCCACCAGCGGGGACGGGCTGTACGAAGGCCTGGACTGGCTGGCCAATCAGCTCAAAAACAAGAAGTGAGAGCCAGGCAGCCCTATCCGACCACCCCGCCTATCCCTGACACACCTACTGTCTCCCTGCCCCAGCCCTGCCCCTTCCTTCCCGTTGCCAGTGTGGCCAGGGCCCTGGGTATCATGTCCGCATGCCCAACAAGAGCCTTGCCTCCCCTGCCTCCCCCCCCGCCCCGTCCCCTGTCCATGACCAGTCCCCAGTTGCTGTCCTGATGATGAATCATTCCAATTTATCGGATTTAAAACAAAAACAAGGTTGTTATGGTTTCATGGGTGGCCCCCCCTCATCCTCTGGGGTTTGGGAGGTGGGGGGTGGGGTATTCTCTCCGTTCGCTTCGTTTGGCTCTGGTTGCTGTGCTCTTGGCATCTCAGTCCCTTCCCTCTCCCCACAGGTTCCTCTCCTACTCCCCGTCTTCCTTTCCTTTGCCACTCTCTCCCTGTTCTACATGGAAATTGCACGGGCCTCTCTGTGTGTGCGTGCATGTGTGCGCGTGTATATACATGTATAGAGAGATATATATGCGGGGGCCAGGGTGGAGGTGTGGAGTGCAGCTCGGTGCTGGGAGCCAGGTCACTGCCCACTCCAGCCTGTCATCTGTCCCTCCCATGTTGGTGAGATAAAGGGAAGAAGGTAGAGGGAAGGCTGCCCCAGTCTTGAGCTGGTTCCTCTCCTCTCTGCAGGTAGGTTTTTCTGGATGATAGGACAGATGATGGATTTTTCCACAGCCATCTTCCTTGTACCCCTCTCTCCATCCTGTTCAGGGCAGGGGGATGGTCTTTATCTCTAGATGACTGTTCCCAAGGAGATGCCATTCTGCCCTGCCTTGTTACTGAGAAGGAGAGAAGAGCCCACTCACTCTTACCAGCCCAGTGTTCAGCTGATCCTCCTCATCCTTAGATCTGTTCCTCAGGAGCTTGTGAAGAAGATGGGGAGAGCAAGACCATGGGGCGTGTTTGGGATCCAGGGCACTGGGGGGTGGGCCTCAGGTTTCCCATCTTCATCCTCTTGTGTTGTTAGGAGAAGGTGAGGCATGGATCGGTCTATTCCTGCCTTCCCATCCCCCCCCTTATCTTCTGCTCTTGGAGACTGGGTGGTTCATCTGTCCTTTGTCAGAAGTTTCCTCACCCTAGTAGTCCTGCTGACCTGACCGGGGCTGGCTGGGTGGTTTAATGGGGAGCAGGGGAGTGGGGGTGACATAGCAGACCTCAGTTTCAATTCCCCTATTCTCTACTTCTCTCTTTTTCTAGTCTAGGATGTGCTGAAGGCTGAAAATTTTCTATTCTGTTTCTAGACCCTCAGACTCTCCTGCCGTCCCTCCTCACTCCACCCCAACAGTTTTCTCCTGCCCGTTTCAGCCACTTCCCATGAATCCGTTTGAGGTTGGAGTGGAGGAAATTTGAACTCTGAAGTAGTTGTTGGTGCTGGTGGATGCAGTGGTCTTCAGGGTCCTCCCCCCATTACTATGTAGTTGTTCAGAAGCTGCTGCTACTGTGTCTGTCTGTTTACAGGGGGCGCTTGTCCCTGAGGTCCTGGCCCGGGTCCTGACTTTGCGGTTTCTGTGAAGCCGTGGCTTTTCTGTGGGCTCCTGTGTGTGCTGGCTGCGCCCTGAGCTCCAAAACGGCCGCCCATAACCTTTCTGCTATGGTCAGGGCCCCGGCACCCTGCCCTCCCCCCACCCCCCCCAGCATGGCTGAGGGACCCCTTCCCAGAAGGACTGTCCCAAGCTCCACCCCATGAGGCCAGGCTTCCTGCCACCTTTGTCTACAACAGGCAGATCAGTACCCCCACCCTACCCCAGGTTGAACTGTGAAAGAGAGGTTCCAGGGGTGTCTCCCTCAGTGCCAGTTCCTTAGTGATATACTATTTACCCAAGATGCAGTGGGAGTGTGCAGGTCTCCTGATCTCTAGGCCTGTGTGTGTGTGTGTGTGTGTGTGTGTGTATTTGGTGGCAGGGGTGAGAGGAGAGGTATGCTGGAGCTTCTAGTTCATTTTAACATGTATTCACTCCCCTGACCGCACGGATGCTTCCCTCCACCCCTTTCCTTTGCCTCTGCCTCTGTTTCCTCATTTTTTTGCTCCTGCCCCTGTTGCCTCTCCCCTCCTGAACTGTTGCCTTTGCCTTCTCAACTCATTCACTGCTGTTGCCTGTCTCCCCTTTCCTTGTTTCATTCCTACTTAGGATTCCCCACTCTTGGTCTTTGCAGTAGCTGAGGATTTTACCTCTTCTCCTGCCTCGCAGTCTGACCCTCCCTAGTTAGATGGCAGTCCCAATTAGGTTTTCCTTATTTAAGGCCCACCCCTACCTTGTTTTTGGGGGGCTCCAGAGACCAGTGGGCCTGAGGGTGTTAGGAAGCAGCCTTGGAGGTTGCCTTGGTGCTGCTCAAGGATCCATCCAGCAGGGGGCAGTAAGTAATCTTGGTAGTATCCCTGGTTGCTAGGCCCTTGGCAGGGGTGGGTGGTCCTTTCTACATTCCCATTCTCCTAAAAGCTCTTTCTGGATTGGGTTTCTCATTCCATTTTTGCCTGTTCCCTCCCACACTCTCCTCTGGTAGATTTAATTTTATGCTTTCCTTTGTTACAGCCTTTTTTTTCCCCTAGAGATTCCCCTCTGCGCCCCCCTCCCCCCCCAAGTTTGTTTTGTGGTGTTACGGTAGTAACTGCAGTTCTGGTTTTTCTCTTCTTTTTTTCTCCTCTGGAATGTAGACTGTATATGTTTAATAACTCACCTTCTCTCTCCTTGCCCAAAATGTGGGATACGCGACAACTGTGACCCTGGTTGGAAATTAAACTTGTTTTATGCAGCTTTGGAGCAGACCTTCATCCTTGATGTGCAGCAGCATGGGACAGTATTTAAATGGTGAGGGTACTTCTGTCTCTGGTCCCTGTCTCTAGACTGCTCCTTCTCTCAGCAGAGGGGTAAAGGGTACACTTGACAGGGAGAGAGTGAGGTTATGGAGGAACTTAGGCTTATTTCTACACTGCTTACTACTTTCCATCATACTCTGGAGGGGAGCCTAAATGAATTGGGCACCAGAATGCGAGGGCTTCGTGACTTTGCTCTTTTAGTTGTAAAGGATTTCATCCTGTTCTTAGCCTTGTTTATCACCTGTTGGTAGACATTAGGGACTTCATTGGCTAGAGGGCCCTGAACTTGGAGTGACCCACCCTGCCTCCATTCTCAGATCTCCCCAGCCCTGTGCAATCAGGTGCTTCCGGTTGGAACAGGGTCCCCTCATCCATAATTGGAGTCCCCTCACCCATAGTTCTGGACTTTGGCAGTGGTAAAACACGAAGGGTAAAGGTCTGGATGGTGTAATGAACTTGATCCTCCTTACAGCTATGGCCCTGTATCACCTCTGCTTCAGGCATGCAGTTCCCCATTGTCAGGATGCCAAGCCTCATCCAGAGATTCCACAGTGTCTTGAGGGAAAGGACAGGCCTTCACCCTCCCAGCCCGCCCCTACTTTCTTCCTCTCCTGCTACTACTGTCTGGCCCCAGGAAAAGAAAAAGATGGTGCTCCCCTTCCTTTAGTGGGTGAGGTCTTGGTGAGCTAGGGAGGCCTTCCCCACTCTCACCACTTTCTTAAGCTTTGGGGACAGAGACCTTCCCATCTTGATGTTGTGGGAAGGGACAGGATTTAGGCATACAGTAAGTTTGAGAGCCCCAAGTACCAGTGTGAAATAAATCATTTGTATTCAGTTACCTCTGTGCTCCTCAAAAGTCCTGCTTGGTGACCAAGGTTACTGGTAAGAGCACCTTTCCCAGGTGCTTTATTTATACATTAGTAAGCATATTCCTTCTAGTACTATAGCCCCTCATAAGATAATGGTAATGGAAAGGACTTTAGCTGGATGGCAGGTCAGTGGGTGTCTTTTGACCCCTGAAGATGATGACCTAGTCCCTTTTGTCTCTCAGTACTCCCATTTAAGATGCCAGGAAGGAGGTGGGGGGAGCCCTCTTGTGGCAGTTCACTTAAACTTTCCAGCTTCTTTTGAGGGCACATGGTGGGATGAGGGAGAGACTTAACCTGGAAGATAAATGTTCAGCATCTAGCTCTTAGGACAAATAGCAACCATATCTGCCCAGAACTTGAATAGCTCTTCAGTTACGGCTTGACAGAAGACTTGGGCCCAGGGTCTACTTCAGAATAATTTGGGCAAGGGAGTTTCCAACATGAGCCTGGAGAGAGCCAGTGGAAGGCCTTGGATTGGTCTGGGTGGGATGGAGGACAGAACTGTCCCCTTCATTTCAGAGTTTGGGGACAGTGACGGAAAGTGAGTGTGGTATGTAGGAGTTTCTCAGACTTGAGGTATAAGGTCTGAATGCTCTGGGGGTTCACTGCCTCACTTCTAGTTCAGGTGCCTAGATGGGTCAGAGCAGAAAATTGACAGGTATTTACTTAGTACCTTTTAGGGTTCCAGACCTGTGCTAAGAAGGAAGTCAAACCACTCTTCTGATGGAGAGACCTGGGAATCCATCTCTGGGATGCTCTGAAATCCTTAGGGATATGCATAGTGCAGCACGTGGGGTAGTGAGAGTTGGGGAATAACTGTGTGGGGGATACCCCTCTGCTGCTGCTTGGTACACAGAGTGGTGTCTTTGGGCAGGCAGTCATAGTACTAAGAACTCTTCTTTCCCAGTTCTGAAGGGTGTGGAGATAGGAGGGCCAAAGTCCAGCTTTCTACTTTCTAACCTGGTAACTGGAGGGATAGAGTAAGTATCCTGCTTGTCTCTGGGAAGCGATAGGACCCGGAGGCCTTCTTCCTCTGTAGGCTTTTCAGTCTAATTGGGTTTCCTGGCCCTGGTTGCTGGGATTGGGTAAGAATGACCCCAAGTTCCTGAGCAAAGGGAAGAGGTTAAGTCTGAGGAAATCCAAACCTTGGGAAAGGGAGCAGTGCAGTGGCTGGAGGTCTGGAAGTGAGGAACTTGGGTCAGGACTATACACCATCACGGCTTGAAGGTGAGTGTCTGCTTGTGTGTGTCACTTTGGCCATGAGCTGCAGAAGAGAGTGGGCTGAACAAGAGAATAACCATACCTGAAAAGAAAACATTTTGTCATCCAAGGTATACATGCCCTTGAAAATACGGCATTAGATTTTGAATCCAGATTTACATATGCTGACTCACAGGCTTTTTGTTTATTAACAATCTGTTAAAAATAAACATATTAAAAATATTTAAAAAGCAGTGCCCTGCTTTCTGTCTGGCACATAATAGGCATTCAGCCTTGATGAATGAATAAACATC